ATACAAATACTGGTCAAATTTATATTTTCCAGATTCATCCATTTATTTTTTGATAACTTACAGAAATTACAAAAAAGGTTACATTTTCCAACTTCACAACACACAATAAAAACTAAGTATGTACATGTTTGACAAGTGCAGAGGTTCAATATTTGCACCTCGCAATAAATATTATGTTGTTTTTGGTTTACAGTACAATTCACATATTTAAATTATTTTATTTCATGCTTCAAACAGAGGTAGACCAAACAAGGCCGGCATCTTGGTGATGGTGGAGCAGGTGTGGAGGTTGACTTAGTTGGCGTTGACAAAGGATTGGTAGAAGGACATGAGCTGGGCCTGGAGGTCCTGGGCATAGGGGTCCAGCTTTTCCCTCAGGTCCTCAGCGTAGGGGGCCACCATTTGTTTCACCACATTTGCTCTCTGACTCAGCTCAACCTGGACCTTATCGGTCATGGGGGCCACGCTATTCTGGAAGTCCTGCAGGTGCTGGTCCACCTTCTGCTTCAAGTCATCAGTGTAGGGTCCCAGCTGAGCCTGCAGATCCTTCACACTCTGCTCCAGGCTGGTCTTCAGCTCCTCGCTCTTCTGCATCAGGGTGGTCCTCAGGGCCTCGGAGTCCAGGGAGTCTGCGTAGGGAGCAAGCTCCAGTTTGAGCTGCTCCACTCTTTGCTGGATCTGGGCCTTCATGTCCTCAGTGTAGGGCTCCAGCTTATCCCTGACGGTGCTCAGCTCCTGGGTCACTCGTTCTCTCAGCACGTCAGCCTCTGTGGTGACTTTGGTGATCAGGTCCTGTGCTGCAGGGGGAAGCTGCTCCTGCAGGGAAACTGCATATGTGCTGGCCATGTCGGCACTCTCTGTCAGACGGGCACTAGAAGACAGACAAGTATGTTAGACCACCAAGGGTTTGTGTAATACCAATCTTAATCACCATGTGACAAATGCCACTAATAGGCCACCATGATCCATTGTGTCACACAACTTACTTTACTTCCTGTCCAAACTGTGATTTCCTGATCATCTGGAGGGTGTCATCAGCTGTCTGGGTGGCCTTGGCAATGTAGTCCCAGAATGCATCAGTCAGCACTTCCAGCTGTGGCTTGGGTGCATCAGCATAGAAGAGGTTGGCTTGACAGCCTGTTGGATGGACACAAGAAACAGCTTGAGAACAGAGCAGATTTTCAGCCATCCTGTTTATTTTGATTTCTGTTAGTTGCTGAAACAATGGTACATACCATAGCTTTGATTGAGCTATATAGAAAAGACACTTAATAGTTAAAAAAAGCCAGTAAAGTAAAAGTTTGTAACTTACCAGACAGCACTGCAATGGCTAATACCACGAACACCTTCATGACTATGGCTTGCTGAAAAACAAATAGGCGCTCATTAACTTTCAAGCTACATTAAAAAATGTAAACTTAAAGTTTTGCTTTGAAATGTAGTACAATTCTCACCTGCGGTTGGCTTGTGTATCTCTGACCGTTGAGCGTGTTTGTGAGTGTGTCTGACTTGTTCTTCCATGTATATATACTGAAGCCAGGTGACAGTCAAGAGCCAAAGTCCATGAGTCCCTGCCATGTTGTCAAAATGGTTTTCTTCCTGTTTCTGCTGCTCTCCTGGCTACTATCACATGACCGCTGAAACTACAGTACAGACAAACAGACACAATCTTTACATTATTGTGACTTTATGTGACGTCTAGGAATGTCCTAACAATAAAACCTATCTTACTCAAGAAATCTTGCAGTAGTTCTCTGAACCATCTCTAGAAAGCCTTTAGGATATAGTAATTAACTGTCCACGTAGCCCTATGCTAACAGCCTGTAGATAACTCCAGATAACCCTGGTATGCTTACACTAGTGGACTTTGTATTAGGTCAAGCAATGTGAATAAAATAGCACCAGGCACTAAAATGATGGGGTTTATTTATAGTGAAGCAGGCTCTTTCTTCTCAAGTTAAAAAAGTGCTGTATGTTCCTGACCCAGTCCATCTTATTGGAACTCATGGCAGATGGTGAAA